ATAAATACTAAAGTGGAAAGTCTTTACAATTTCCAAGGAACTGATATGATCTATTAACAAATCCTGATCCTTTAGACCAGTGGTTCTCAACCTTCCTAATGCCGCGACCCTTTAATACAGTTCCTCATGTTGTGGTGACCCCCAACCATAAAATTATTTTCGTTGCTACTTCATAATTGTAATTTTGCTACTGTTATGATGAATCATAATGTAAATATCTGATATGCAGGATGTATTTTCATTGTTACAAATTGAACATAATTAAAGCATAGTGATTAATCACAAAAACAATATGTAATTATATATGTGTTTTCCGATGGTCTTAGGTGACCCCCGTGAAAGGGTCGTTCGACCCCCAAAGGGGTTGCGACCCACAGGTTGAGAACCGCTGCTTTAGACATTTGGAATGCCATACATTAATAACAAGTGATCTGAACAACAGTTTACATTCTTTCATATAAAGCATTGCTGCTCAGAATTAGCATGTTACAAAACTCTTGTGAAATTTCAGTTGAAACATATTAGCAAACATATTTGTGAAGGAAAAAAAAAACACCTAGCCACTATAATGTCCCTTTATGAATCCTAGATGAGGAAAACTCTGTCTTTGCATGGCTCATTCATCAGAGAAAGGGAAACTTGTTAAATGAGTTACTGAAGTACTTTATTTATAAAGCAAAATGTGATGAAATGTTGCCATTCTTTTAAAAGACAAATATATCCTGTGACATAAACCTCTGAAGTTAAAATCTATACCTCCTAAAGTACATTTTAATTTAAAGCTATTTTAACTGGTCATATAGTATTCCACTGAATGATCTCCCTAGTAAATTTTCAGGTAGAGTTAATCTAGATAGAAAATACTGTCAAGCAGTTACAGTGTTATGAATTAAAAAGAAAAAAAACCCTAAGCACTGAAATGTTATCTACTTTTCTCCTCCTAACATGCCCTTTCTATATGAAACAGAGAAAGTATAAATGATGCTTACTATTATAAGTAGTATAGATTTTTATACATTTTAACATCTATATTTTAATGAATGGACTATTTTCTGAAAGGCAATTAAATTATCCCAGGAAAGACTTTTTTTTTTAAATAAAAAGGGTCAATGCATACAATTTTATGAAAAAAAAAAAACAGAAACAAAACACACACACACAAACAAAACACACACACACACACACAACAAAAACACTCCTTGCTAAGAGATATGGCCATTTTGTTATTCATGAAAGGAAAGAGGACTTCCAATGAAAGATCCTGGACCATGAGAAAAAAATGTCATCCAGGCTGCTTGCTGGCAACAGGCCACACAAGCAGTACCCAGCCTGCATGGAGAGCAGGTTGGCAGATGTTGTTAGCTGACTTTTGCTGAAAGAGTATGGGAGAACAGTTGGAAAATCACAAGGTGTCGAACAAGCTTTAAGGAAATAAATAGCTTATCTGGCAATAGAAAGGGAGAAAGACAACGAGTTCCTTCGTGGAGGAGGAAGACTGGGATACTTCCAATTACAGAGTTTCATGAACTGACTTCTTAATAAGAATAGAATTTGTATTTAGAGGTCCTAAGATGTCGGAAAGACAAGTAGTTTGCAGTTTTGCTGTAGATTTGTGATCTTCTTGTATGAGAACACCACTGATACAGGTGATAATTCCTCCCCCTTCCCTCTTCTGCCCCTAACTGGTGACTGAGACAGTACATGGGGAAAATGCAAACAGCCAACTTAGAGCCCCTGACACCTTAACCTGAATACTGGCATTTGACACTAGAATCGTCCTAAGGGAAAAAAGAGATGATGCTGTGAATACCTGATGGGCACAGCAAGTAAATATTCAATAAATATGTGAAAATCTAAAGTTGTATTAAAATCTGAATCAAAAAGAAAACATGAAACAATTGCTAAGGGTACTTTTCAGAAGAAAGCATTATTGCATGATGCTGAAAAGAGGCTGCCCCATGATAACTGTCTGCTAGTTAGCATCACTGAACATACAGGCAGGCCTGTTAACATCCCTTATAGTGGGATGTAAATCATCACAAAGCCAATAAAACGGAACCACATTTTCTTCAAGCCCTAAGATAAGAATCCTTTCATCTGAGTAGACATATTGCTAGGCAACATTTGTTAACATAGAAAGAGCAACAGGGTCTAAAAGAATAAAAAAGCCAGAGTACAATGTCCATAAAGGTGGGTCCCCCAGCATACACACAATTATACATGTATAGATATACATATACATACCCATACAGACACACATATACATACACACATGCCTACATGCACACCTATATATACATACATACACAAATGCATACACACACACACACACACACACACACACACACACACACTTACAAATGGCATTCCTAGCCGTATTTTTTAAAGCATGGTTTCAAAGGGAGGTGCAACTTGAAATATACTTCTTTGAGCAAATTCTATTATGTTTGCCTCACTTATTATTCTTCCTAAATGTATGCTTCTCATAAGTGTATGCATGCTATAAATGCTATGATCTTCATGTAAGTAGGGTTCTCTTTACACACGTTAGCTAGCAGAATCTTTGCCACATTCTTACACATGTTATATTATAATATGTTATAACACGTTTTCAAAAATTACAATCTTTACTTATTTTCCTTAGATTTAAGATTTCATTACATCTTAAAAAAATAAAGGCTTCTATAGACTACAGAGGACATTCAAAGGCAGGGCTTAATAAAAAAAAATAGCCACCTTATTGTTTCAAATTATTTCATGAAGACACATTTTTTTTAAGTAGACAGGGGTTTGTTTTGTTAGCTTTCTTAGTTTCTGCAAGCCCCTGAGCCTGATAGGATCTCAACCCAGGAACTCCCACCCTCACCGGTAGCCCTCACTTCTGTCATTTTCGAGAAGCCATTGTATGGGTCCTTATTTGTAATCCACTTTGAAAGTCAAAAGCGGCGCAGATACAAAAATAAAAGCACTTATTCAAGGGCATCTTCCACGCAGCAGTTGCTGCCTGGTAAGGACGTACAGGTCTGGAGCCGCCCATTCCCAGCGCCTCTGTGCAGGCAGTCCAGGGTCGGTGGGGGGAGGGAGGGGTACCCCACCCCGCCATGGGCACCAGGATCACGAAGCTGTTTTCTCGCTGGAGCCCACCCTCTTCCCGGCACTATGGAAACAGCATTTTTTTTTTTTATTACATCCTCTTCTTTCTATTACATCCCTAACAGAATTTCAACTTCTCAAGACAAGTGAATGGTGCTGATGACGCCCGGGAAAAAGCCCTCGACCCGGGTGCGGGGGAAGGGCACCCCTGGAGGGTGGGGCCCTGGGAGCCACCCGCGACCAGTGTGACCGGGAGTTGGGGGCGCCACGGCCCCTCCCGCACCCCGGCTCTCCTTCCAGGAAGGGGCACGAAGCTGATATCGATCCGGAGCTCACCGGTGACTAATGTGATGATCGTAAACAAGCCGCCGGCGGGGCACCAAGGAACCACCCAGGCGCAAACCCGCTGCGGCGGGCGGGCGCGCGCCCACCCTGAGTCTGGGCGCAGGATCCGCTCGCCGAAGTGTGTGTTGGTAGGAGGGGATTACGAGAGGGCAGCCAAGTTCATTACCCTTTCTTGCCCGCCGCGAGTGTGGCGGTGGCGGGGCCATGAAGGGCCAGAGTGGGGTGTTACCCCATTCCCTGCGCCCAGAGCCGAGGGCGGTATCGGGCCTGGATCGTCACCGGCCCCTGTCCCCTGCAGTGTCTCCTCCTCCGATCCCCTCCCAGGCGGACGTTCCGAGCCCAATTAATTGAGTAAAAGCGGGAGGGAAGGACCCTCCGCGCGGCGGCTGGCCCCCGCCCCTTCTGCGCGCCCCTTTTCCCGCCCTGGGTGGCATCTCCTCCGCCTGCATCCACAAGGAGCCTCTGATTAATGAGGTTTGGGCCGG